GTGTTTTTGCTTTATTTTCAGCTTAATTCCTGCTTTAATTTATTGTCACCATATTTCAGAATAGGAAATTACCAAGAACGCCCCAATTTAAAATTCAGAAAAAGTGTTTCCAAATGGGCATTATTATTGGATTACATATATAAAAACCTGTACAGGGTAGCTTATCTTTACAGAAGAAGTTGTTTTACAACAATATCATGATCAAATTATTAGCAGATTGAGAAGGTCCAGATGAGGACGTTTCTGCTAATTACACCGTTTGGCTTTTAGTCTCATGGATATAATCGACACTTTTTTTTTGGTTTCTGTGGTTGTCAACAGAGTAAATGTCAAAGCAAACACATCAATCTCCCAGATCCTTGTGTTTTCCAGCTGCCGAGACCAAATAAACTGCAAACAGCTGTTTCTCACATCTCATTAATTATTTTAAAAGCCTCCCAGTAACGCTGTGCTAATCACCTGTAAATACGGTCCAGTGAACTCAACGGGTCTCTAATAAAAACCCAACACCTTGGAACAGTCTTCATAATAGAGCTGGTGATAATAGAGCTGTGTTGCTTTTAACACACATACACGAGGAGACTCTTAGGCACTACTGTTTGATTTCCAGCTCTGAGTTTGCCACACACACACACACACACACACACACACACACACACACACACACACACACACACACACACACACACACACACACACACACACACACACACACACACACACACACACACACACACACACACACACACACACACACACACACACACACACCTCTACTTTGTGCCAGACAAGACCACCCCAGAAACCAGTAATTATATATTCTCCCTGAATAGAACAAATGGAAACTGCTAAAACAAATCTATTTGAGGCCCAGACCCCGATATCAACTCAACTGCTCTAACAAATTAAACTTGGGGGCCCAGTATTAAGCTTTACAGGAATATACCTTTTAAATGATTTACAAAATACAAACATATTTTGGCATTTGAAATGGTGAATGATTCATGTAATCATAATCATTTGACGTGAGTCATTTGAATAATATTGGGCTTATTTTCCCTCAAAAAATAGAGCAGTGGTTTAACAGCGCCATCTTGTGGCTACAATAAGAACTCACCACACAACGTTCGTCATTTGCTGTACTTGTGCATTCAACAAACATCCTTGCACTATAGCACTAGCTTCCAATACTCTTAAGTACGCTACATCAAGAATATACTTTGATAATTGATAAAGCATTTTAATTGTTTGCGTTGTAGCTACCATATTGATATAGTGTAGCCTACTGAACATGTTGTATATTGTATCCTATATTGTAGGCTATATCGAGTAAGCTGCCACTTACAGTTTTTTACAATCACTTTGCTACTATTTTCAGAACCTTCATGTCATTTTTCAAAACTCTAGACACAAAAATCAAAACGGTTATCACTTGTAACACAGGCTGTCTAATGTTCAAAACATTGCATTGTGCATTCACATCTTTAAAGAAATCTTGCACTTGCACAATCATTGGTTCAAAAAACAAATTTACTGTGAAATACCATTGAAACATAACTATAGATCACCCACACACAAGCAACCGATAGTTTCACTGTGTCATTGTTCGTACAATCATTAAATTTTGTAGAACAAAATAGGTGATACAGGTTTCATTATGGTACTACATGTACAGTAAATACATCTCTGTAAAAGTACAGTAGTGGTAGAGAGAATATTACAGACACAGTGGAATCATTGAACAAAGTTTGTAATATATTGATGCAAAACACTACAGTGCAATCACAACATAGGTTTATTTGAATCAAAGCAAAAATAATTAGCTATGAAATAGAAAAGAAAAGACACTACTGTAAAACATCAAATGCAGTGGTCCTCAACTTGCTTGGTTGTAATGTAAGAAACAAAACAGGAGTGATTACTGTATTTCTACATTGTAATCAACTCTGTGCTGTGGATTTGGCCACAGGTTCTCATCTACATCACAATGGATGGTTTCATTAGCCAAACATCTTGGAAAACACCTTCGGCATGGCGAATCCAGGCCTGACACTGGTCTGCTGCGATGGCATTGCAGGCGTCATCCATGGATATTGTAGTCTAATTGGTTCATGCTCCACGCAAATTGGTGACAATGAATCTCGTTATCTTGAAACTTTCATGATTTACTGTAAACATGGAAGATTGTCTGTTTCCATACAACTATGCATTACTAAGAGTAATGCAACAGTTACTTATCATTTTGAGCAGTTGTATCTATTGATAGTTAGATCATTGTACTGAAATGAATAGACACTCATTTGAAATGTAATGTGTGAATTGCCTTTTGAAATAGTAGTACTTTGATGTTAAGTTGTGTCATATTGAACAGGTGATCTTTGTTAAATGAACAAATGATCTAAGTTTTATGTGTATTGTATCCAAGCAATTGAGGAAAGGGTTAGAGTTTTGAAAAATGTGCATTTTGATCATTGGTTGAGAGTTTTGTGTCTAGAGTTGTGAAAAATGACATCAAGGTTCTAAAAATAGTAACAAAGTGATTGTAAAAAACTGTAATTAGCTATGAAATAGAAAAGAAAAGACAGTACTGTAAAACATCAAATGCAGTGTTCCTCAACTTGCTGTAAGAAACTAAACAGGAGTGATTACTGTACTTCTACACTGTCATCAACTCTGTGTTGTGGATTTGGCCACAGGTTCTCATCTACATCACAATGGATGTTGGAAAATGACATCTTGGAAAAAACCTTTGGCATGGCGAGTCCAGGCCTGACACTGCTCTGCTGTGATTGGCAGAATTGGACACGCAGTTACAAGGGCCTGCATCTATACAGTACTGTACTGTCAATACTGTACATAGTCTGAAAAGGTGGTACGTATTTGGCACCATAGACAGTGTCTGATGAAGCATTACAGTATGATAAAATATTAGGCTACATCCATGGATATTGTAGTCTAATTGGTTCATGCCATGCTAATTGGTGACAATGAATCTCATTATCTTTAAACTTTCATGATTTACTGTAAACATGGAAGATTGTGTGTCTGTTTCCATACAACTATGCATTAAGAGTAATGCAACAGTTACTTATCATTTTGAGCAGTTGTATCAATTGATAGTTAGATCATTGTAAGGAAATGAATAGACACTCACTTGAAATGTAATGTGTGAATTGCCTTTTGAAATAGTAGTACTTTGATGTTAAGTTGTGTCATATTGAACAGGTGATCTTTGTTGAATGAACAAATGATCTAAGTTTTATGTGTATTGTATCCAAGCAATTAAGAAAAGGGTTAGAGTTTTGAAAAATGTGCTTTTTGATCATTGGTTGAGAGTTTTGTGACTAGAGTTGTGAAAAATGACATCAAGATTCTAAAAATAGTAACAAAGTGATTGTAAAAAACTGTAACATTAAAAAAGCCTGTAATAGGGGTTTCAGCCAACTGAAACCATTGAAAATGATTTTGAAATAAAACAATACTTAAAACAGCAAGCAAATGTTTAAAATATGTAATTAAAATATATAATCACTGTCTTGGCCAACAAATAGGCTCATTTGTCATTGATTATTCCATATTCTGATTCCATCTGTTCAACTACTGCCTTGTTGTGGCTCTGGGCTTAACTCTGGGTTTTATGTCCAACTGATTGTGTTACTACGAAATTTTAACAAAGTGTATATATGTATATATATGTATTTTAAATTAGAAGATGACCAGATATCTGACATGGAAACTGGGGACATGTCCTACTGGTCAAAATATCACTGAAATCTCATTTGTTTTATCTATTATTAAAAAAAAATGGGGACAATATTTTTTTTTATTGTTGTGGGTTCCCTATATTATTAACATGAATAATTATTACACTGTAAAAAATGTATATGATCAATAAGTTATGACAAGTTTGTACATAGCTTTAACTCGTCAAAATACATAACTTTTTACAAGTTATACATGATTCAACTAACTTTTTAGTCATTTAATGTAAATCCGTTAAAATGACTGAAAAATCCAAGTTGATTGTACTTAAAAATTTAAGTCAGAAACTTTATTTTTTTACAGTGTATGATTTAATTGGATTATGTTTTTTGGTCTGGTTTTAATCAAATTCCCGGCTCCCACAAAAACAAATAAATAATAAAAACAGTTAATAAGTCAAGTCACTTTCATTTATATCGCTTTAAACAGTTTGTTTCAAAGCAGCTTTACAGTGATAATAGGAAATTAAAGTAACAGAGATTGTTTTGGCTTTACAGCAGCTAAAGAGTAAAGTTATTGTCCAGCTAAAGTTAGTTTTGATTGATTCACTTCCGCTTGATATTTTCCTTATTAGGTTTATTTAAAGCAGAGAGTAGCCTGTGTGTATTCTGCAAATGTATTTGTAGCAAGTGTAATTGTTTCCTTTGTGAACTTTTGGGGACGTTTAATTGTGCAAAACAATCCCGCACCCTGTTGAGGCTCTGTTATAAAGCACATACAGTATTACTTTAATTTAACATAAATAGTTAGTATGTTACTAACTTGAAAGCGATAACGATGTGTGTTTTGATATTTGAGGACAGACACCGGCGCTCTGCTCTCGTAGTCAGCGTAGCTCACAGCGCCACCTGCTGGTGGGAAGAATCACTACACGATTGACCATATAACCAGCAGGCTGCTCTATGTTGGTCTGTTTTTTTGCAATATATTAATGTTTCATGTGGCTACTTTGAAACATTAATGGCCGATTTCACAGACAAGGCTTAAGACTAGTCCCATACTAAAATGCATGTTTGAGCTTTTTTAACTGAAAGCAACTAGCACATCTCTTAAAATATGTCAGTGTCATTATTTTGTCTGAAGATACACGCCAGTTTGTTTATAAAAAAAAACATAAATGTCTAATTGAACTAAAGCCTAATCCTGGCTTTATCTAAGACCTGTCTGTGAAACCAGGCCTAAAGACACATTGCAATAATTGCAGTCCTAAGCAGAAAATACTCTTTGTGTCAAACACATAAAGAGTACATCCAGAGATTGTTTTATTTTTAATCTTAATACATTTATGAGAGCAATATACAATATGAACACATCAAATTCTAGGGGACATATCAGGTCACAGCTTTGGGGGTCCTGTTATTCTCCAGCCTTCTGTTTTTCCAACCTTGGTGAGCATAGCCACAGTTCCCAGACCAAAACACGCTGCCGTACCTGTGATAGCACTGTGTGCTAAACATTAAAAACAGCAGCAAAACCTTGTTAGATTCTTTCGTCACAAAAAGGAAAATGTTAAAAAGCGCATGTGAATACTGTACTTACTCCGTGCCCCGAGGAAAACGCCTGAAGCACACCCACCAATGAAATAGTTAGTTGGGTCATCAGGTGCATCTCTGGCCTGTGCACTTAGACAAGTGGCCATTCCAAAGATGGCACCCATGGCAGCTGAAGGGGTAGCAAACAGGAAATTAATTATTACAGCAAGTGTATGTGTTGGCATCACACACACAATCTAAACTAAAAACATTCTATTAATGTATCTACTGTTCTCACAGCGTACAAGTAAATTGTAATATGTAAGTAACTATTCATTGATGAATAAAAAGTTCAAAAGATCAGCATTTATTCAAAACAGAAATCTTTTTTAACAACAAATCTTTACTATCACCTTTTTTAAAATCAATTTAACACATTATTGCTGAATAAAAGTATTCATTTCTTTATAAACGGTAGTGTTTATTGTTATATATATTTCTATTTGTAAAATATTCCTATTTTAAATAAATGCTCTTCTTTTTTTTATAAAAACTTTTTATACATCAAATAATCCTGGAAAAAGAAAAATTAAGCAGCACAATTGTTTCCAACATTGATAATAAATCAGCATCTTAGAATGATTTCTGAAGGATCATGTGACACTTAAGACTGGAGTAATGGCTCCATGTGTTATATGTTAAGTATATTTAAAGAGAAAACCAATATTTAAAATTATAATAATATTTAACAATATTACTGTTTTTACCTGTATTTCTGATCAAATAAATGCAGGCTTGATGAACATAAGAGATTTCTTTAGTAATGGTAGTATATGTTTCCAAACTTTTGACCGGTACTGTATAAATATATCTGCATTTACAGTAAGTAATGAGAATGGGGAGTTAGGTAACTCACTGCTGTGAACCACTACACTCATATAGACTTCATTTTCATTGTATAATTTCGATATAGTTCAAGGAAATCCCTGTTGTTAACACTTCTGCTCAGCATACAGTGTGCATGAATCGGAGCACAGCTTATTTGTGTCTTACCCATGGTGGCAGTGCCTGATGTTGCTCTGGTCAAAGCCTCGACAGCTGTTTCAGGCTGAAAAGCCACAATGTGGTAGGCAGAACCTACCAGCCCTGCAGAACAACAACAGTTTTAAAGGACATTAGCTTTTGTGTTATAAAGCAGGCCGTGCCGAGTGACCATGTCGATATCCACTTTACTAACGTTAGTCATTTTGAGAACTATACATTGCCATACAAAAAAATATATATACAAAAAAAAAAATGCAGCATGTATGAAACAAATAAACAACTGTCGGAAAAATATGAATATGAGAAAATAGTGCGCTTGTATTCACTAACGTTACTGGACTAACGAGTGTAAGTTACATGCTAACAGCTTAGCCTTTAGGGCGCATAATCATTGCACAGGTTTAAAACTACGCTCAAAGGGTCCTTTAGAAACCCTACAGAGCAGACGTCCATCAGACTAACCAATGGCTGTGGCTACTTTCGTGGTGATCCATGTTTTGGCAACGCAGTCTTTGCCCTCTTCTAGATCCCAGTAGCCCATTTCTGTCTCCGCATCAAGGACACACTGAGATATCGCGAGAGTTTCTTCTCGACCTCTTTTTCTAGCGCTGTGTGGTCTAGTAGTTCAAGAAGTGTTTCTTTGCCCCCCGCCCCCCGTCGGCGTGGTGTGGAACTGCAACACATTGCTGGTTTATTTATTTACTTGACAGAAAGCATGTTATGCATAACTAACTACAGACAGTTAGTTACCTGAATACAAACAAGTTCAATTTGCTGACTTTATTTTGCAATTCAGTATACAATATAAATATCTAATAAATGTAGTTTTTACCTATTTACCTAATTAGCATAGGTGTATTTTAAAACATGAGTTATGAACACATTACAAAAATAATTTAAAAAGAAAACATAGTGTCAGTCTTAATCTTAACATAATATTTTAATAAAAGCACAGTCCCAAAAAATAACCAGTCCGTTTATTTAGTTCCTCGCAGGGAAAGTGCAGTTTATAATCATTGTTGTCTCTCATTTTCTGCTACTCCGATTGGCTAGAGGCTCTAAAAATCATTTCCGGGTCAGCAGCTACAGGTTGCTATGAAGTTGGTGGAGATGACACGTCAGCTGCCTGGAAAAACAAAAACTGCAATACCTGCTTATATTGGACAATGTTATAAATCTCTGCGCTGCATTTAACTGCGCATTGCCGATTGTAACCGTGTTATAGACGCGAAGATTTACTGAAGACACGCACGGCGCTGCTTGTGCATCACGCATGCTGAGATTGAAAGATAGTTCAGCTTCATTCAATCTGGATCTGGACCCGTCCGAGACCCACAGAAGATGATCAGCCCGGCAGCGTGGCGTTCTCGTGGGTGAGAGAGGTTACCGGGCCGGTGCTTTTGTCTTCCGCATCCCGAGCAGAAGCACGTCCAGGGACATGTCGTCCCCGTCGCCGGTGCAGATCCGAGAGGCGAACGCGCACCTGGCCGCGCTGCACAGGCGGGTCTCCGAGCTGGAGCACAGGCTGGAGGAGGCGGAGAACACCGTGCGGGAGCAGGCGGAGAGTCTCATCCGCAAAGACGAGCAACTGAGAGCGGCCACGCAACAAATCACGGAGGCCAAGGATAAGTAGGGGAAAGAATTGACATCCTCAACACAATCGTGTTGTTTTGTAGACGCAGACTAGTTTTATTTATTTTATTATTTGACACGAAAACCACGTATTTTGTAAAAATCAATTTGTGCTAAATCAAAAAGCCCCATCAAAGCTGCTTTAAGCGTATTTTGTATGTTCGTATGTAGCAGCTAGGAATGTGACGGTATCAAATTTTCATGTTGCTATAATTGCTGAAGCTTTTATCTTTTACAGTATTATCACGATACTCAAATAAGTTGCAAAAAAGTGTTTTAATACTATGAGATTAATAACTTTTTGTTTCTAACAAAATGATCTGAACATTTTAAACACATTAAAGCAATTGAATGAATGTAAACAAATGTTATTATAAAAGAATTATAAAGAACAACAGGTAACACTACAATAAGGTCTCATTAGGTAGCATTAACATTAAGCAATAGCTACATTTGTTACAGAAATGGAGTCAATTTATTCCGCTTATACTGCGGTAACCACACCTCAAAACATTGTTCCGATGATTTATCTCAAGATGTTTGTCAGGTTAAGAGCGGAGGATTCAGCCAATGATAACAGACTAAAGCAGTTATTAATGCAGTTTATAGATAGAGAGAGAGAGATTAAGCGTATATTAATTACCTGAGTCTGTGTGTCTCTCAACAGTGTTCGGCAGCAGCGTCTCTACTAATAGTGTAACTGTAAGTTTATCTGCTTCAAGAACAGCACCATTATTACCTCGCTAGTGAGAAATTCATATAGCTTTTAAGTTGTTAAACTATTTTACTGATAAAATCGTTAGAGCAGCACTGACAACACGTTTCTGTGCGAGTGTGTGTCCGTACTGTATGTGTGTGTTTGAGTGGGAGAAAGAGAGTATGTGCTTTCCATTCCGTACATAATAAAACGTAATTTTTGTGGCAAAAAAAAAAACTTGGAAATAATTTGTTGTTTTTATCCTATTGTTTACTATATTTATTTGCTGGGTCAGTGTCTGTAAGGAAGGACCTTTGAAATAACTTAAATCATTTGGCAAAGTGATGCGGTGAAGACCTGCCTGGAAGTACTTTAGCCGTGCGTTTCTACCAGCCCGATCTCACGGCAATTCGTACGAATTTTACGAGGTGGCTAATTCGTACTAATTCATACGACCTCACTCATACAAATTCGTACGATTTTTGCTAATTCGTACATATTTTACGAGTTACCAAATTCGTATGAATTTGTACGAATGACCTACCCCTGACCCCGCCCCTAAACCTACCCATCACGTGGGTTTAGACAAATCATACGAATTCGTACGAGTGAGGTCGTATGAATTAGTACGAATTAGCCACCTTTTAATCACTCGTACGAATTCGTACGAATTGGTCGTGAGATAGCGTTGTTTCCACCAATCAGATTTAAGCATTCAACTGCCCAGTAGTAAAATACAGTTACATACAACTTTTGATTTTAATAGTGTTATAAAAATGTTGAAATTAACTAAGATTATTAAATGCTTTTGAAATATTTGTCATTTTAACTTTATTTTAACTATATGAATTAACTAATGGTAACTATTGGAGCCTTAATATAAAGTGTGGCCGAACAATAAACAATCAAAAAAATTTCAATCAATATCTCTAGGGCATGTTGTAGTCCAGATTATGATGTAAAAATGTTTAAGTTTGAAAATAAATAGCCTGTTAAGTCTAAGTATTTGGTGCTGCGATGAACACTATCGCGAATACAAAAATCTGAATGGCTGTTTAAAACATTTAAATACTGTTCAGAAACAGCATTAGCGCAGCTGCTTTGTTTACGGTACCTCGTTCCAGCACTCCTCTCGTCCGTGTTGGGCTTGTTTACAGTTCCCTTTTTGCTGCAGCATAAAGCGGCGTTGTGCCTTTTAACCTGTCGATGGAAAAGCATTGTATAATATCGTATTACCGTATACCGGCACGTCTACAGCTACCAAACAATTATCACTGGATACGGTGGTCCAAGAAACCACACCTGTCTGTTACAGGCCTCGGTTGTTTAAAGAGCCAAATGGACTGCTAGCCCGCCCCTGTTCACCAATCGGAAAAAGAACTGCCAACAATGTTGTTAGGGGGTGGGACTATTTGTTTGTGCGACCAATGTTAGATGGGGTAAGTGATTGCCAAAACTAGTTTGGAAACAGTTATTGCAATAAAGCGGTTTATTTTGTAGTCCTAAAACCCAGAATATAATCAGCTTCTCTCTTTTGTTGCATTTCCATGATGAGTTACTATGACTTTTTTAGATGAAAAAATAAGGTCTGTGGTTAGAATTACTTGTAGAAATTGTTGTGTAAAATGACACAAATTGCTAAGACTACTACTACTACTACAAGGGTTTGAGTTTAAAGGAATAGTTCACTTCAAAATTAAAATTCTGTCATCATTTACTCACCCTCAAGTTGTTTTAAACCTGTATGAATTCCTGAAGACAAAGGAAGATATTTTGAAGAATGTTGGTAACCAGACAGTTGATGGACCCCATTGATTTCCATAGTAGGAAAAAAAATACCATGGAAGTCAATGGGTTACATCAACTGTTTGGTTGCCGACATTCTTCAAAATATACTTGTGTTCAGCAGAAGAAAGAAATTTAAACAGGTTTAAAAATAACTCGAGGGTGAGTAAATGATGACAGAATTTTCATTTTGAAGTGAACTATTCCTTTAAGTGATTGACGAATCGGACAAGTGTTGTAGTCCTTGCATAGCAACTTGTATTTTTAAAACACAGTACACTTTCAAATTTTCTATTTGCGGTTTCACTCTGGTGTTTATATTTGTAGAACAAGACATGAAAATCTTTTCCAGTAATATTAACCAAAGACCGTAATAAATCGACAACTGCTTTAAAAAAAAAAAAAAAAAAAAAAAAAAAAAAGTAGCAATTTCCTGAGAATAAATTAGCTGTTGGCCTACAAATTGACGTTATGACCGAACAGCACTATTCCGATTGGTGCAACTAGTGGCATGCAAATTGTGTCCAACAGATTTTTTTAATAGGATGATTTGCTGACTGAAAATGTTATCTTTATTTTTCATGTAGAGAGATTTTCTTCCTCCACGAGAAGCTTTGTCAATCAGAGGAGTCCATCCATAAACTCAACCAAACGATTAAGGAAAAAGATTCTCTAATTGGACAGTTACAACACCGATGTCAGCTGCTGGACAACATTTGCAAAAGCCGTCCATTACTGGACAGCATGCTGTCCCAGATGGCCGAGGCGGAGAGAATGGGGCCTGTCAGAGATTTGGGGAAGCCCACGACCAACAGCTCTCTCACAGACGGAGAGTCCAACTGCAGTCCCAGCCGCCTCTCCAACCACAAAGACTTCTCACTCAGCGAGGACGACTCTGACGATCAGGAATTAGACGGGGTCGTGTTCGGGACCACTGTATGAGAGCCTCGGTTACACTGGTCCTCGTCTCAGGTTTAGCAGCCTGTGTGTTTTAATGGTTACAGTTGATTCAGTGTCTGGTTATCATTTGATAAAAATAGCCATTGTATCGTAATACAGGTTACTGCATTGTGAATGGGATTCCACTGTAAAGAAAGAATGCCCGGTCAATTCTGGCTGAATCTATAAGATAGTGATACAAGTATGCCACCTATCATTTGGATTTGTCCCTCAGACCAGTTTTAATTAGGGTCAGTTTAATACGGAGTCCCACATAAAAAAACAACAACCATGCATATCGTTGACACAGATTCAGAATTCTTACGTCAGCACATTTTACCTTGTTTTAAGTAAATTGTGCGCACTATATAACAATTTGTTCCCTCGATTTACTAAATTGTGTGTCCACTGTAATAATTTGCTTCCTTGTTTTAGTTAAATCAATTCAAAACAAGGGAATGAATTACTGTAGTTTAACGTGGCCACGATTTACTAAAACGAGGCCACAATATAATTTTGTTCCGCATGTCTTGTGCGGAGTTCAAGGTTTAAATAGGTTACCTAGTTGTTTTCTTTTGGTTGTTAACTTGTTTTTCCTTCCCTTTTTAGGTTCAAATGTTCATATACTGTGATATTTTGCTCAACTATTTATACCTGGATTTTATTAGGTCAAGTTAATATCAGAGTAGAAAGTTTTTTAAATTTACGTACAAATTACTTGCAGTTTACTGTTACATGCGGTTCATCTGCAGTTTTATTTTTTTAAATGTGATCCTGTTTAAAAATGTTTTTGATATTGCTCCATAACTGGATGTCACCTAGATGTAATATACTGTTTTGTTTGAGTCTCTCAGTGAACAATTTCAACAGTCACTGAGGTACAGATGGTGGATTCTGGTTTAGGTGTGATCTGCTGTCATGTGCAAGATTGTTGATTTATACACTAACATGTTCGTAGAGCCTTAGTAGTTGAATTTAGGCCCTGTTTTGTTTACACCTGGTATTAAAGGGATAGTTCACTTTGAAATACATTTTTGATATGTTTTAGCTTACCTCAAGGGCATCCAAGATGTGGGTGTCTTTGTTTCCGCGGAAGTTTCAATTTTTATATTTTTAGGTCAAACCGTTCTTGTCTGTCAGTCATATAATGCAGGTCTATGGTCACCACCTCAAAGAGCATGCACAGAGAAGTCCAAATTAAACATGATGTAATGACTCGTAAATGTAAGTACACATTGATGGCCTAAGACACGAAACGAGCGGTTTGTGTGAGAAAACGAACAGTATTTATATCGTTTTTACCTCTTGTAACGCACAGACGGAAGCGCCCGCGCCCTCAGATCACTTGGACGTGGCTGTGTTTACAAGAGGTAAAAACGATATAAATACTGTTCATTACATCATGTTTAATTTGGACTTCTCTGTGCATGCTCTTTGAGGTGGTGACCATAGACCTGCATTATATGACTGACAGACAAGAACGGTTTGACCTAAAAATATAAAAATTGAAACTTCCGCGGAAACAAAGACACCTACATCTTGGATCCCCTTGAGGTAAGCTAAAACATATCAAAAATTAATTTCAAAGTGAACTATCCCTTTAAGATGCGTTTTGACGACGCTAAATACAGGTGTAAACGGGGTCTGAAACATTTCGAGCTTGTCCACTTTCGACCACTTCCAGAGGTAGTCGAAAACGCATTCGACCGGATTGCTTTCGCAGTGTAGACACTCATGTGATCGAATGTGTTCAAACAGCCACAAAAGACCGTCTACTCTCCGCCTACTGACCTAATGCATAAACATTACGGGAAGCGCACTAGCCAGGCTGGATTTAAACTTTGTTGGCTGAAGACCCAAGTCTGGTTTGAAGACGGAAAACGTCCCAAGCACAATGTTCTCTCACCATTCCTGATTTCTAACACACACTGCGTTGCACTTGCTGCTCTCCGTATGTTTTTCCGTCGTCTTCTGGCACGTTCATATGTAAATTGCGCGAGCTTAATGTGTCCATTGGACATTTACCCGCCCATAGACCCTCCCCACGAAGAAATCAGGACAGAAGTGGTTGAAAGTGGACAAAAGAGACGGATTAAAACACCAGGTGTAAACGGGTTTGAGTCTCCCTCGTCTACTTGTGCCGATCAACCAAAACGCATCTTAATACCAGGTGTAAACAGGGCCTTAGATTCAGTGTCATCGCTTGTATGCCATGCATTGTTTACAAATAGACATAGTTTTACATTTATAAATTTGCCCCTTGGCCACAAATTCACATTGCAATACAATATTTGCATAACTGTGCTATGGAAAGCAAACTTAAAGGAATAGTTCACCCAGTATTTTATGTTTTGTCATCAGTTTACTCACCTTCATGTCATGTCACGACAGGTTCTTCTTCTGCAGGACACAAATATATTTAGAAGAATGTTGGGGTATAGTGAACCAAAAATAGCCCTCTTTTGTTTGTGTCCTACAGATTTGGAATAGAGGGTAAATTTTTTTTCACAGTAAAAGAGTTACTAAAAGACGTATGGTTGCCTCTGAATTATTTATTCTGAAAACTTATAATTTTATTCTTGAGTGCTAAATATCTCAATTGTGAGCTTGTATATATTAAAAGGGTTTAAGTATCTTACATTTTAGGTCGGGTGAACTGTCCCTTTAACTTCCTTTTTTATCCCTTTACACTTGCTCGTCAAATTTGTATTTGTACAATGATAGTTTACAATAAGATTTGTGCTAAAAATGAAAGTTTTTTTTACATCATTTATTAGTTCATGTTAATTATAAAATTTGTACAAATTTATACAATTTGCAAGAACTAACAGTAACAGTAATAAATCCTGTTCAAGTATTGTTCATTATTTCATGTTAGCTGCTGCATAGACAAATGCTGCTAACTGAACAACTGTGAAAACGTTTTCCTCCAATGTAGTGAGTGGTGGTTATTTCATATTTAAAGATACGTGCTGGAAACTCATAAGTACCAGGACTGAACCATCAGTTTTTGAGAGACCCTACCACCATTGTGATGGTGAGCAAAGTGCTGGAGCGTGACGGTGTGACATTACCATAGTGGTGCTCACCAAACATGCACTGTAATTTAAGATGTGTAATATATAATTAATTAAGTGATCTACGCAGTGAAGTTGTTCTCTGAGAGCCTCTCTTAATAAAACAGCTTGCACTTAAAATAGTGCACCACCACATAAACGGTGCAATTCCACCCAAGCTAAAGCTGTTGCTTACACAATTACAGGTTTATGTTTGAGAGAGAGTGTAAAAGCACTTGCTTTCATGGTTGAATATCTTCTAACCTTTGACAACTGTCCTTATATTTGCTATTATTTCAGTTCTGCAGATGATAATGTGATGCTAATGCATATAGACCTTTCTCCAAATTAATCGAGTTATTCTTGAACATTTAATTTGGCCTTGCAAAATGAAATCTATGCAAGCCTGTTATATTTTGCCATATTTATTCAGTCAATCTGTGTGGAAAGCCACATAATGTAGTGAATGAGTGTACTGATGATGGGGCATTATTCATGTACAGCGTGTCATTTGTCCTGTTACGATGTGATGGTTACACAATATTTTCGTGTTCGTTTTAAGAGTTACATGTGGTACTGAACTACAGCATGGTAATTTTACATATTGGGGCATGTCATATTTGTCTTGTTAGTGCCCAGTACAGAAGTAAAACAGTGCCTAAAAGACTCATGGTTACTTGTTAAATGGGATTATTTATTCTGAAAAATTCTAATAAATTATTTTGTTATTCTTGAGTGCTAAATATCTATATTGTGTACTTACTCGGAAACACGGTATATACAGGAAATAAATAAATTCAGGAAAATTGGAATACAAATTCATCTTTATTCGATATTTAATTATACTTTTTTTTTCATGACATTTTCCCCATTTTCATTGATAGAAGAAATAAAGTTGTCAGTAATTGTGTTGCATTAAAAGTGCTTCTGTTGCACTGCACAAATACAGGCTCAGTGGAAAAAAAAAGACTTCATAATGCATTTGACAGGGTCAGTGGGGTAACAGCACCTTCCCTCTACCAATGCAGTTGTGAAAACCCTTGGTCCCGTCCGGGCCGACAGGCTGGCGCACAACCAGGACACCCGAAGACCTCACAATCTGATCGGGTGACAGCAAGCTTCCCATCTCGGGCTGAATGACCTGGGCGGCATTTTTCCGTCTCTGGACCCACGGGCTGCCGGTGAACCCCGTGTCATCCGGAGAGAGCTCATCCGAGCCCTTGTGCCTGAAGAAGGCGGACGTCCCGGCTCCAGTGGGCGTGCTGCTGAACGGATGCGTGGCCAGAGGAGAGGTCACATGACTGCAAGGGAAAAGCTTGCGAGGCAGGAGGGGGCTTCCAACGGGACTGCCAAGAGGATTCCTGTAAGGGTCCGAGCGGAAGGTGGATATCCGCGGGATGGCGAGGGGACTGCCGTAGAGGGCCTGAGGGCGGGACACCCTGCGGTTGGGCCGGGGTGAGGCGGGGGCAAAATCGGACTCTGAAGAGCTGCAAACAGCCGAATCCTCCAGAGTGTAAAGGTACCGCCTGGCTTTTCTGGTGGGCTTTTTTAAACTGTCATTGTCAATCCCTTCTTCCGACATTTCCTCCACTAGGTTTTGGCTCCATCCCGGCTTACGAGTCCCACGGCTGCCCAACAGGACCACACAAACGCCCCTTCCTCCCTGCTGCCGCTCTTCTGCCCTCAGGGTGTCGTATGCCTTACGCGCGCCCTCTAGATACTCGTACTCCACCACGGCACACACTTTGCGCCCCATTTCCAGGTGTTTCTTAGTGTAGCGTTTCAACTCTGCAGGGATCTCTTTGCCTGGGCGCAGAATGCGAAGAGATGAAATGGTGCCGTAGGGGGAAAACACCCGCATTGCCGCTTCCATGATGCCTGGCTGCTCCCCACCCGGTGACCCATTCCACTCATCCTTGACTGGGCCGACACCGTCCAGGAAGTTCCAGGCCAGAAGCAGCTTGCTGGTGGGAATGCACAGGAGCCAATCGGGCACTGGAGTGCGTCGTCGCACCTTGGTTCCCATCTCATTGACCTCCAGCTGCGGAGAGGTTCTCGAAGCAGCCAGTGTGGTGCGCCAGTCACGCGTCAGATCTCGAATCTGTGACAAGACAACGAAAAGAACATTTCCTGATGACGACACTTCTACTCGGATCGGGGTGTTGGGTTTTTGATCTCACCTTTTTGAAAGATGTCAGCAGCTTCAGACTAACGTAACCCATCTTGTTTCTTTGGACATGTTTAAGCAGAAAAGCGTCATCTGATAGATTTTCATCTGAAAAGTAGTTCTCGAGCTGGGCTGCAATTTTTTGGGTCAGATCGTCGTTCGGAGGAATCCAGAGTTCACCCTCACAGAATTCCTCTTCAAAAACATCAATCAGTTCAGTCGAACTCCTGAAAAACAGTTATTTCTTTAATGAAATGGATTTGGAATTAGCCATTAGAAAAACACTTCAAATTGGATCATTTCTGGGATCCGGTAATATTTCAATGGATTTTTTTTGTTTTTTAAACTACATATAATTAATTCTCTAAATACTTTACATCATTAGACGCATATCAGACCAACAAGTCAAATTTTCCCACCACAGGCATTAAAGACCTTTTATTATTTTTTTTAGGTTTTTTTTTTCTAAACTTTAAAACGGTTTAAAAAGGATTTTACACAAATAAAAACTTTCTACATACTGCTCGTGTCCCTCATAAATTAATAACTACAAATGTAACATTTATGATAATTTTCCCATTTTTATGGGACTGAAAAAAAAAAAGACAAATTGTGAGACATCTGTGGTGCCATTATTTTTGTGAAAAATGTTTTGCCATTTCTGACATAGGATGCTTGTCAAAGTTAAGCATTTCCTCAAATATTCTATTTATAACAAAATTATGAGCTGTCATGATTTTGGCAAGTATATCTTTATTGAAACCATGTCTATTTTATATATTTATTAATAAATTAATCCTGCACACCTGCAGGTATAGGGGCAAAGGAGAAAAGACCAAAAAAAAGTCAAATCAAGAACAAAAAGTTAAGTACTTTTGCAAGTACTATCAGTACGTGCAAAAGTTTAAAAAAAAGTGACCATTTTTAAAATTAAAATTATTCATAAATGAAGTGGAAAAACTCAACCCTGTCACAAGTTTTCCTGGAAGTGAATCAATCAAAACTAACTTTAGCTGGAAATAACATTATTCAAAAATCGCTATAAAGCCAAAACAATCTCTGTTACCGTAAATTGTATGTTTATCTCTGTAAAGCTGCTTTGAAACAATCTCCATTGTTAAAAGCGCTATATAAATGAAGAAGATGACAAGTTTACAACCTCAAAGCAATGAGAAATATACAGATGTGTGACAGGGTTGAGTTTTTTTTTGTAAAATGGCCTCTGCTCCTGTAGGAGAGTTGACCATATATGGCAGCAATGAAATAAGTATATTATATATACTATAACATTTATATATAAAAATAAAAATCGAGAAAAAAAATCTTAATTTGATGTGATGGGGTTTAGTTAAGTTTGACAGTACCCTCCCCCCTGACAATAATATGTCTAAAAAATGTGAATAGAAAGTAGGATACCACTGTTAAAGAGACCTGAATGATGTCATTTCTGGTAAATGATATGGGTGGAGCTTAAATTATTATAGGCGGAGAATTGTTGGCATGAACTGACATAACTTTATAGCCTAGTCTTTTTTAAAATAAAATATTCTTGTTTTTTGTGAAAAATATTTTAACTAATATACTAACAATATTTCCAAACAGACACTACACATTTTGTTAAATATTTTCTAAGTAGAACTACAAATTCAGTGAAGTGCCTTAGGGACATGACAAAATGCTTTTTTTTATGATAAAAGTGAAATTTCTTTTCCTTTTTTTTCTTTCTTCTTTATTATAATGGACATTCCAGAATATGGTAAAAGGCTTTTAACGTTTCATTTTGGTGAACCACTGAAATATAACCAAATCACAGGAATTATCTAACAAGTGTCTTACCCGTCCAAACTATCATTTAGCCCATCGTCAGTGTATGAGAACGGTCCCTTAGACTGCGGAGTGTCCTCACAATGGAAGATGTCAGTAAAACCAGGTGAGGACATGCTGTTGACAAAGGCTGAAATGTAGGCTACTAGATTAAACATTTAAAAATATATAGAATTAAACGTTAGTTGTTAAACTGCGTGGTAAACAGCCTACCTGACGACTTCCCTGTCTGCTTCCCCGTTTCCCGCCACACATCTCCTGAAAACAGGTGATCCCTTTTTAGAATCCTGATTTAAACGTCCATACGTCACAATTGAAAAAAGATGTCTATTGGGCGACGTCGTGCTTGTTCTGTTGGCTATAATCACATATAAATCCTCTGGGAGCGTAAAAAATCCTATAAAAAAGTTTAAAGGCGTTTGTCAATCTTCCAGACTTTTTAATATATATATATTTGTGATAGCCTAATCATGAACATTCGGAAAAGGTTACTTGATATTAATTACATAGGCTAGTGCACATGCGCACTGAACGCAAACCATAAATAATTCTGCCTGGTATTTTTTCTCGTAGACCCTGCCATGATTATTTACACTTAATCTCTCTTAATTACTCAATTACACGCAGCCTCTGTTCCCAAGACTTTACTAATGGGTGTGTTAGTTACTTTGCGAACCATCGACTTTTGGAGACCCTGTAGAGTGTAGACGTTATGCAAACCCACCATGGACCCGACTGGTGTGTGTACTGTGAGGGGTGAGGTGTCAAGATTAAGTGTAAAGTGTATTCCAAATGAATAGGTACCACGGGGGATCCGTGAGACGGTATAGTATACGTGCAGTGCAGGAGTCAGGACTGCTGCCAACCCCCTTACTCGGCTTCCTGTATATTAGAACTGTTAAACATCCCCGGACAAGTTATTCCTCACTTTTGTGGCATGCTTCAAAGAGCACGATGGAGGTAGTCTGAAGTCCTGCTAATTAGGCTAACTAACACGATTCACAGCCAATAAACACACTCAGGATAATGGGGGCTCAACCATATTATAATTACAGTAACGGTTGCTTTTGTAAATGTGCGACTGGAATCTGCTATGACGAGCACTGCATAAAAACATTTTCGCGTTTTCTGAACGATATGATCAGATCATTTGACCTGCAAAGCAAAAAGAGTAAAGCTACTTAAATGTACAAGGGTGATTCTTCGGTTATAGGGATATTTTGTATTATTTAAAGAAGAACAAATAATGGAATGAAGATGAGAACATGGCCTTGATCGACCTCCAAATGGGTAAATATAGATATCATGTGTGCAGGAATCATTTTGTATACTAGTAAATGATGTGTGGTGGCAATGGGATTTCCACTTTCTGGAGAATTTTTTTTATAAGCCTTGGGCTTGCTAGTTGAACAATGTGGATTTACTTTTAAATTGTAACATATTTAGATATTATTAGCATGTGCAGGATGATGATGCATCAGCCAATGTATAGGATATAAATAGAAACAATTGCTAATTTAGTTGTTATAGCACGAACTGTCAAATATTAAATATAAACACATTTTAGTATAATTATATTAAAATGTATTTAAACATTCTGTAAAAGTTTATCCAGGTGTCAATTATGCACAATACTAAATAAACTATTGTATTTGGACAATTTAGAAAATGTCAGACAAAGCAGAATACCAGTAAAATAGATTAATCTGAAAGGTTAAACTATGATATTCTATATACAGGCATGTGAATGTTTACGTATTTAATTGCCCATATTTTTATTGAAGATATGTCATAGCAACACTACGAATTTCACTCAACTAACCTATAGGTTTTAATAAAAGCAAAGATGTCTGAAATCTAATTCATGGAAATACTGAAAAAATAATACCACTACTAGCATCATATCCTAACCCACCATATCACAATGTAAACAATCTTACACTTAGTTACATTTATGATTTCACTGTCACTATATAGAGTGGTCACCTGATACTTTTCAATTCCATGGTAACAGAATAGCAAATCTAACATTTTAACACTCTTAAAAATGAGGAAAAAACAATACAAAATAAAGTAATTATGATCCATTTTAAAACTAGAATGGTTGTTTTAAAGCATTTTTATTTATTTAACTTTAAAATCACCCTAGTATATAGAGGACAAAGTAACAAGAATGTAGGCCTAGCCGTTTATGAGCCATATTACAGTTAATTTGTAGTGACATATCATAACCAGTAGAGGACACTCGTTGATAGAAGATAATTCTGCTGAAGTAGGATACTGATTGCTGAAATGCTTGGCTTGAACTCTTTCATATTTAAGATTATAGCATTTATTTACTGTTAATTCCAATTTATGTCATACAAAAGTAGCCTACAGTTAGTAGCCTAAGTCGTTTCGTGACATTGTGATAACTTAGGCTACATCAGTTTACGATCATCTAACAGCAGATGGCGCATTAGAACAGTTAATTGATCCAATCCAGATATTGAGTTATTGATAGGTTTGACTGATTTGAAAAATCACCGTACACAAGCCATTGGCTATCTGAAAGTGTTGCTGCAGCAGGGACATCGACGCAAGGTGCTGATGATATTATGACAGTCATATTATTATGACCCTGAAGGCATTTCTATCGAGGAAACAATGAAGTGCACGATGTTGACCCCAGTGTTTATGCAGTCCGGCGGCGGGTTTCGTAACTCGAGCACAACAAGGTCCCATGATAACATCAACAGCTCTGATCCTGTGACTGTACCGTCTATAATTAGCCGGTGGAACTGGAACAGCTTGGGTGATGAAAGTTCCAGGTAACAAGGAGACATAAACGCGACTACCTCGAAACAGTGCAGACGACTTGTGTTTTGCAAAAACAAAACAAAAAAAAAACACACACAATGTCTTCTGCAAAGATAGCCTGAATAAACAACGCCGTCGATTTTAATGCATCATTTTCGTCCCGAACTGTGCACAGGATGTCAGGAGTCACGAGTCATCATCATAGGCCTATATAAGGGAGTTTCGACAAACCAGCTCGTGCAATTTCAGGACGTGGCAAAATCTTATAGATTTAAGAAACATATGATACAATGACTCTTCTTTTCCCACATATGTAATATACTTGCAATACAAAAATGAAATTCTGGCTTCATTACGTTCTGTAGCCTACATGATGCAAAGGTTTCAGATATAACTGCAACATGCACATCGAAAGCAACAGGGATTTCCTTATGGAAATTCCATCGGTCTCAGTCAGTACAAACAAATTGAAAGCTGCTAGGTGCGTTTTGTATTGGTAGTTTGGGGAGATGTTCCGCGAAGCAGCCCACGTGGGGTGAAAGCAGGAGTTTCCCCCACAACCAATGGTTGCGCGAGAGCAAGACGCTTGTGGAACATTTCTAACCAACCAGAAAGACGAGCGTTTGGCTAAGCCGCGCCCACTCGAAAGCGGTATATATATACTCGCGTTTCGCTTGAAGTCGACAGAAACTAATTCTGAGACAGCAAAACGAGCAAAGGAATACTACAACTCCAAGTGATAGGCTATCTGGAATATACTTTTGGACAGCACACTTTGACTGGATTTTAAGATCTCCTGGTGACTTGTGGATTACTATTTGAAGCAAAATGACCCTGGAAGAACTCGTTGGATGCAACATAACTGATAAAAAGTAAGTTATTTATTGCATGCATAAATATCAACTGCGAATCGCAATAGGTGTTTTTCTATATAGAGAACTATCCGACTGTCGCTTACCATAGTCGCATTTTTTTACAGAATGGACACAGTGAACCAAGCATTGGAAGAGCTGCTGGTAGCAGCACAGAGACAAGACTGTCTAACAGTCGGCGTTTACGAGTCTGCAAAACTAATGAATGTGTAAGTATATACTTATATATCTGACTTTCCATATTAGACGGGTGCTGGGTGTTGCTATATTGCGTTATCATCACAAACAGGAGTCTAATTGCATTTGATTTGATTTACAGAGACCCAGATTGTGTCGTACTGTGCGTTCTGGCCACCGATGAGGAGGACCAGGACGATATTGCGCTGCAGATTCACTTCACGCTCATTCAGGCGTTCTGCTGCGACAACGACATCAACATCCTGCGCGTGTCTGGTCTGAGGCGCCTCGCGCAGGTGCTCGGCGAGCCAGCCACCGTGGACAACAGCGAGCCGAGAGACTTGCACTGCATCCTAGTCACTGTAAGTACACTTATATTCGCACACTTCTTAGCGTAGGCAAATTCTTTCGAATCTTAATATCATATGACGTTGACTTACGTTGCATTTTATTCTTTTTCCACAGAACTCTCAATGCCAACCACTCAAATGCCAGGCGTTGAAGGACGTGGGCAACTACTGTGAAGAGAGCCGTTGCAAAAACCAATGGATTCCTTATCTGTCCCTGCAAGAACGTTGAACGAGTCGCGATGCTATTGCTGCAAGGAAAGGATGAAAGAGTCATTCTCTGTGAATGAAAGCAAAAGGGCTCTGCACTAGCCGCCGTTGACTGCTCTGCTGCGTCATGTGAAGGGGCTGTGAGAGAGAAAGCGGAGCTCTTGGAACTGTGCGCTCGGTACATGATTCCCCTCTGCCCCTCCAGCTTGTCGTGTCCTCCGTGGGAAAAAGGAAAAAGTGGTCGTTTTGGTAGCGGAGAAACAAGTTGTGGGAAAATGAACTGTGAAAGGCTGCCTGTCGGCACAAGCTGTGCTGGAGAACTTGCACGCAGGCGGGCGTGGGCGCGCGCGCGCGCCCCCGGCTTCATATGTGCAACGGGTTGGAAAGAGATGAGTGTACGTCACTATCGCTGACTGCGGGACGAACATTTTGAAATGTTGAGTGAATCATCTGTGTATTAGCCGGACACGATTAACAATGAACATGCAGTAGCATTTATGTCAAGCTACACATGGACTGCAATCGCTTCTGAGAAGGACCGTGTTTGTGGAACAACATGAATTCTGCTGAGTTGCATACATGCATACATACTATGAATTGTTGTAGGTTAAGTTATTTCCAGTAATATAAACAGAGTAATATATGTATTGCTTCCCTTGTCATATGCAACATTGTTTCAATAAATTATTGTTTGAGACTTACTCCTCTGTCTGATGTTTTGCTTTGGGGGGTTTAGGGGTGGTAGACAATTCAATATGTTTCTTATAGTGGCACTAGTATATCATTGTAAATGGGCCATGCAGATTCAATTACCTTGGTTAATGTTTAAAATAACAACGAATTTCCTGGTTAACTTCCTTGCAAATCCCAGTGTCTTCCCAAAATTAGCCTGGACTGTACATCTAGGAGTGGGAGG